GGGGGGGTTTCCAGGGGCTGAGGTGTCCCTTCCCCTCCCCAGATCCAGTGGTTCTGGCGCGCCCTGCGCTCCTTCGACCAGGCCGACCGCGCCAAGTTCCTGCAGTTCGTGACGGGCACGTCCAAGGTGCCGCTCCAGGGCTTCGCCGCCCTCGAGGGCATGAACGGCATCCAGAAATTCCAGATCCACCGGGACGACCGGTCCACGGACCGGCTGCCCTCGGCGCACACCTGGTGAGGGGACACAGGGACACAGGGATGGGGGTACAGGAACGTGGGGGGGACACAGGAGGGACACAGGGACAGGGGGACGTGGGGCAACACAGGTACAGAAGGGCATGGGGGGACACCACCTGCTCACAGCACACACCTTGTGAGGGTACACGGGGACAGGGAGACATGGAGGGACACTGACCCCCTACTTCTGGCACACAGACCTGGTGACGGGACAGGGGGACACAAGGACATGGGGGAGACATCAGGACCCAGGGGACACGTGGCCTCCACTGTCCTGAGCCCTCTGCTCACATCTGGGACAGGGGGAAATGAGGGATGGGAGGGGACGCCAGGAGGTGGCACCAGGAGCACCTGGGGATGGGAACAGGGGACACAGATGTGGTGGTACTGAAGGGAAGATGGGGACAAGTCACTGGGGTCAGGTGAGGACACTGGGATGGGGATGCACCCAAGAGCAAAATGCAGGAGGTCAGATGGTGGCACGAGGTTGGGGGGTGGGACACAGGAACATGGGGACACGGGCCGTGGGTGGGGTGGCACTGGGGACAGTGGTCCTGGGGGGGTGACAGTGCCATGTGAGTGACACGGGTGTGTCCCCAGCTTCAACCAGCTGGACCTGCCGGCCTACGAGAGCTACGAGAAGCTGCGGCACATGCTGCTGCTGGCCATCCAGGAGTGCTCCGAGGGCTTCGGGCTGGCCTAGGGGGGCCCCCCCGACCCCCCCACAGGGGCTCTATAAATATATATATATTTTTTGGTTCCGTTGGCTTTTTTTGGTTTGTTTTGTTTTTCGGGGTTATTTTTTTTCCTCCGRTCCCGGTTTGGGGGGGATTTTTGCTCTGTTGGAGGGTGGGGGCTCCCTCCTCCCCCCTCACYCCCTCCCCCCGTGTTGGGGGCTGGGGGGGGCGGGGATGGTGAATGGGGGGAGCCCCTGAAATTATAAATAAGAAGTTCAGCCCCTC